CAAGCGGTAGAGCGCTAGCCTTGAGCTGAAGAGCTGAGGGACAGCGCCCAGACCCAGAGTTCAGGCCCATGACTGGGCCCCCCCCCCAAAAAAAAGAAAGTGCACCTCATGCTTTGTGAAGGTGAAAATGTGTTTGTGACTTTAAATAGCACTATCCTACAATACTGTGAAGTTTATGTAATCACTTCATCTCAAAAAATTAAAAACAAACACAAACAACAACAAAAATTCCCTGCAAATTCAGTTAAGAGGTGAGTAGTGATGGGCTTATTAAGCTCATGAAACCTATTTTCTTCCAAGCTAGAAAGAAGATGCCCTCTAGGCCCCATAGAAGATTTTTTCCCCCAGTCTTGAGCCTTGAATTCAAGGCCTGGCTGCTGTCCCTGCGCTCTTCAGCTCAAGGAGAATGCTCTTCCACACTTGAGCCACAGCACCACTTCCGGTTTTTGAGTGGTTAATTGGAGATAAGAGTCTCATGGATTTTCCTGCTCTGCTGGTTTTGAACCAAGATGCCTCCTGAGTAGCTAGGATTACAGGAGTGAGCCACTGACACTTGGCTCCATAGAAGAGTCCTAAGCATTGTGGGAAAAGCAGGCCTTGAGAAAGGATGAAGTCTGATAATCATTCTGAAGATGTCTACTAATTACCATTTGAAATTTTTGGCTTCTCAGCTGAAATGGCTCATTCCACGTTGGCAAGCAAGACTGGACCTTTCATTGTTCCCATAGGCTTCCATTTCTGGGATAGGTGGACTGTGTGCAGAGGAGGACCCTGTATCCACTAGGATTAGGACACAGGGCAAAGTCTTGGTGACACCTCACTAAAGGACTGTTCCCTGAAAAACATGGAATAACTACATGGGCTGTGTTCATAAGTGGTTGCAAAGAGAAAATACTTAACAGCAGACCAAAGCACCAGACCTCAGCATAAGTCAGTGCTTAACTGACTTGTGACTTTAGGCCACAAGGTCTTTTAGAATATACACACTTCGCCAGTCACTGGTGGCTCACCCCTGTAACACTAGCTACTCAGGAGGCTGAGATCTAAGGATTGTGGTTCAAAGCCAGCCAGGCAGGGAAGTGCATGAGACTCATCTCCAATAAGTCACCAGAAAACTGGAAATGGTGCTATGACTCAAGTGGTAGAGCAAGCCTTAAGCAGAGGAGTTCAGGGACAGTGCCCAGGCCCAGAGTTCAACCAAAACAACAACAACAAAAGACTATATACACTTTTATGGACTTACTGTTCTCCCCGTCAGGTAGATGACATAGTTGTCAAGAGTTGTTCCGCTTTGGACTGGGAAGGTGGCTCAGTGGTAGAGCGCTTGCCTTGCATGCATGAGGCCCTGGGTTTGATTCCTCAGCACCACATAAGCAAAAAGAAAAAAAGCCGGAA